TCACAACCTACCCAAGGCCCGCTTTTTGCAAACACATCCGCCTGCTAACTTTGTAGATCCGCTGACTCCTCCGATCGTTCGTATGACCAAAATTTCCGTTGAAAATGGCGACAGTACTTATGTACTATCTCGCTTCAGAGATCGGGCTATATATGAGAATCTTAAATTATACTTGGCATATCTTCACGATGCGGCGGAGAATGTCCACCACGATGGTAAAACTAGATTAGATTTTAAGGTTTTTATTGAAAGTGAGAGCCTTCCCTTTGACTATACTATTTTATATAGCTTATTCAAAAAATTTCATGTCACTTTAAATATATCTGCCGCCAGTGTCGATTAAGATTTACAAACATTTAGGAGCCATATGAAAAGTAAATGGATTGAATATTTGCAGAGGATGAGCGAAGCAAACAGTAAGTTTTTTCTTCCGACGACTTCAGCCCAATCGTCTAAATGGTTCAAGTAGCTTTCCTAACAACAATAACTTGGTCCAATTAACTGGTTTTGGAAATAGCATGACAAGGACTGTGAAACAACTTTCTTTGTACTATCAAAATGTCCGTGGACTAAGGACTGAAACTAACACCGTTCTATTTAACTCTTCTCTTCTTGACTGTGATATTTATGTTCTAACGAAAACTTGGTTGTTCCCCTCCATCAGTAATCTTGAATTATTCGACTCTTCTTTTTCTGTTTTTAGAAAGGACCGACATACTCTTCTCTTGCAGGAAACCCACCAAAGGGAGGTGGGGTATTATCGCCCTTAAAAACCCACCAAAGGGAGGTATCGCCCTTAAAAACTCGTTATTAGCTAGTATTATTGACATTCAAGACTCCGATGACCTTGAAATCATCTCAGTTAAAATTGAGCTGAAATTAAAAAGGCTTTTCGAAGTCAATTGCTATATAGCGCCTAACTCAAGTAATTAGTTATATGCGAAATTTTCTTCGTCAATTGATTATTTATGCAATTCTTTGAACCCTGAGTATGAGGTTCTTGTTTCAGGATATTTCAATCTCCCCACTTATAAGGTGGAAGACCCATGATGAGGAACCATTTTTGATATCAATTGACTGTTCTAGTGAGTTGGAGTAGTCCTTTATAGATACCTTTCATCTAAATAATTTGCAACAAATATCGTCAATAACAAACCAGCAATCGAGGCAACTGGATCTAGTCTTTACTTCCAATTGGTACAATTGCTTACTCACAACTGTCCCGGATCCGTTGGTTAACGTTGATATCTATCATTCTCGGATATCTCTCTCTTATTGCATTGACGACCAACCATCTATTGACAAGCCTCTTTTCTATCGTTTTGATTTTAAAAGGGCGAATTTCGCATTGCTAAATGATTTCTTTTCTACCTACACACGACTTCTCTTCAGTATTTAACTTTACTGATATTGAGCCTATGACGGGTATGTTTTACGAAATCATTTTTGCTGCATTTGAATTGTTTATTCCAGTGTTGAAAACTAAACATACTGGCTCTGGCCCTCCATGGTTTTCACAAGAGTTGAGAGTACTTCGCAACAAAAAGAATAAGCTGTGGCGCAAATATCTCTCCACTAAGGCGACAGGGACTATTATAATTTCCGATTGTCGTATGATCAATTTAAATTAGCAGCAAGAGAACTTTACGACTACTATATCTTTAAAACTTCGGATAACTTAATGTGTAATCCCAAAGTCTTTTGGAAGTTCATAAACCATAAGAGGAAAAGTGATAGTTATCCAACCTTCTTGAAATTCGGCGGGAATACAAGTAATGATTCTCAAAGTATTTTCGAATTTTTTCGTAACTTCTTCACCGAATCTTACTCTTTTTCATCTTTTCAATTAAATGTCGACAACTTTCGGCACATTGATAACTATCCTAAAACAACCTTTACAAATTTTGTTACGAACTCTTTTGCGGTTGAAAAATATCTTTCTAATTTGGGTTCTAGTCCTTCTCCTGGACTAGATGGAGTTCCTGAGATTATTTTAAGCAGGTGCTGCTCTTCTCTGGCGCCCATCTTAACCTTAATTTTTAATAAGTCTTATTCTTCGGGTATTTTCCCGTCCGTGTGGAAGGAAGCTTTCATTAGGCCAATCCATAAGAAAAACAATAAAAATGACTATCGTCCTATAGCCAAACTGTCGGCAATATGTCGGCAATGACAATATTTCTTTCCATTGTATACCATTCATTAGCGCGCGTCAGCATGACTTCTTGAAAAAGAAATCCACGGTGACTAATCTAGTGAAAGCCACGACAGTTTTCTCAAATAATATGGAAAATGGCCATGAGACGGACGTGATTTACACAGGCTTTAGCAAAGCTTTTGACATAATACCACATGAAATTATTATTTTAAAATTGAAACCCTTAGGATTCCCTGACAACTTCTTAGCATGGATAAAGTCATATCTCTCTGGCAGGACTTACAGAGTCCTCTTTCGTTCAGCAATTTCCTCGCCTTTTTCGTCTAATTCTGGTGTACCCCAGGATAGTCACTTAGCTCCATTGCTGTTCATAATTTCAATTAATGATGTTGTTTCGATGCTAACGCACAGTGAGGTAAACTTTGAACGGCCATTTTTTTTTTCTAAAGTTTAACTATAGTATACCGCGCTGGGGGAAGCAAGCCGCTGCCTTTCTGCGTAGTTGAATAAGGTATATTTCCGTTGGATTGTTTGGAGCAATATAATTTAATCGGCAATGGTCAACAAAAGCATCTCGTTATTCAAATTTAAAAATATACTTTTCATTACAAAACAAAAATTATAACTGCAAGGTTTTCTCCGTTTTCGAGCCGGTATTCTTAAACTTTCATGATTATCAAAAGCGAAAAAAAGGCAGTTTCGCTATTGTTATTTTGTTTATTCGATAACGTAATGCAATTAGAAACATTTAGAAAACTCAATTCAACAATATCTAGCAACTTACTCTTTTTCAAATGAAAGTAATGTTTTTTTACTTTATAGAAATTTTAAAACTATTTGAAAGTAATTTACTTGATTATATTTATTTGCGCTTGAAAATATAGAAAAAAATCTGATGTGGCAACACATAACCAACCGCAATGTGTATTCTCTAGTTAAGAGAAAGTGTTACAGAATATTATAAAAATGCCTGTTAAATACTTCTTTCTAATTTTTAGGGCATTAGTAAGCTTATAGTTAACATACCTAGAAAAATGCAAATTTGGCTCTTAGTAGAGCTTCGCTTTATGCTACCCGACTTTCCTAAAATGCTCGCCATTTAGTTCCGGCAACAGCCAAAATTTAAATATCAAATTTCAAGAAATTCCATCATTTCGTTCCGTAGATATGGTAAAAAATGTAAAATCGGCCCTCAGATTAGTTTCCAAGCCCTGATCTTTTAAAAAAAATTTAAATGATCATTGTTTTAATACGAAGAATTTAAATATCAAATTTCAATGAAATCAGTTGATTATTTCTTTTTATATACGCATAAAATGTATATTTGTCGCGTGGTAAATGTCTAGTTGGTGACGCCTGATTTCTTTCAAAAGTTAGGAAATTTCGCAGACAATGGAGCACCTTATATATGAAATTTCAAGTAAATCGGTTGAATATTTTCTTTATAATGATCAAAAATGTAAAAGAGGCTCGTTAAAAAATGCATTTCCAAAAGATACATCCCAAAAATTGATCAATCTGTGCCATAGCCGAAATAAACTTACATATAAAATTTCAACAAAATCGGCTCAGCCGGACTTATGATGCACGCGTGTACACACAGACAGACAGACCAACAGACCGACAACCGACAGGTTGCTAAAAATAGTTTATTTGCATGGAACAATGGAGAAGTGCGTTTGCACCGAAAACTCGATATGAAAATAAGCTTCGGTAATAAGCTTCTCATTCGTGTCACTATCGATGAATATGTAGATTCAAATGAAAGTAATGTTTTTAACTGTGTACAATGATCAAGAAGTGTTTAACTGTGTTTATATTTATAAACAATGATCAAGAAGTTCATTAGTATAGTGAAACATAGTAAACTAATTTGTAGCATTAGAAACATAGTAAATTAATTAGTATAATGTTTGTTTTCATTTTTTGGTTGTATATATGTATTTATATTTAAAAAAATTCGTTTTAATTAAAAAACCAAAGGACTCACCTTGTTTACTTAATTAACTAAGAAGTTCTTTCTTTTTAAAAATAAGATGAGTAATAAATAAAGTTGGGTCAAACTAATGCTAATGTAGATTTTTTCTTTTCATCAAGTGAAACATTACCGCTTTCAAAAACAATCTAGTGACGTACTACATTATTGAAATCACTTTCATTCATATATTGCAACACTGAATTCAGTGTTTAAAATAAACCAAGAAAAGAAGTTGAAAGAGGCATGAACATAATGCTCAAATTTAATTTACCGTTAGCTTTTTGTATTTATAGAAAGTTGGAAAAGTTTTCAGTCTTGCAAATAAATATAAGGTGCCAAAAATTCGAATCTAACAAATTTCGAAAGGCGTGTTGAAAACATGCTGAAATTTCAGACTCCTAAAATTTGCGGTCTAGAAGAAAAACGATATCAAAAATTTGGGTAAAACGAATTTTAAATCACGGTAAATTTTAGCGGCCATTCTGCCTTTCTGCGTTTCCAAAATTTGAAAAATGCCAATTATTCTTATTATTAAAATAAGTTTTTTTCTAAAGATTTATGTACTTAGAAAATTCAGCTTTCTATCTTCAAGGATATAGAAATTTTGTTAACATAACGACGCAGGAACAGAGTGAAACCAATAAGCACTTAATTTTAAAAAGAATTTTGGAAAAGTGTTAAAAATTATGATTTAGACTTTAATGTTAAAAAAGACCAAAAGAAATTTATTTGTAAGTTGTTATTTCGGCGCGAAAATAAGAGCAGCTTAATAATATCTTCAATGTTTAGCTACTACATATATACATATAAACCTTAAATTTTGTTTTTTTTTTTTAAATGTTTTTTATTATGATTTATAAAACTTACCAAAATATTCTCTAAATTCGTTATCAAGAGCAACTAAATCATCATTGTCTAATGTTGATGGATTACCGTACAGTAATTTTTTGATAATTCTTCCTGGTGTTCCACCTGAAGATAGCCGGCCTATATATGTATATACGATACAGGTATATGTAGTTATTTCCGCATTTTTGATTAATGTATGCGTTTATGATATAAGAAATATATGAAATGAAACTTATTTTTATACTTTTTCTTACACTGTTTTAAAAATACATGCAGGTTTTTTTTCACACACATATTACCTGGCGATGGTCTAATGCTGGACTTTCCATTTTTATTGCTGAACTTTTCTGCAAGGAAATAAGCAAGGAAGGTATTTCTAAAGCAGTCACAGAGTGTGATTTGTTTTTTTTTGTTAATATTTCGAGCAATTTTTACAATATAAATCAGAATTAAAAAATAAAAGATGATAAGAAAATATAAACAATGTACGTTTTTTTAGATAAAAGTCTCTGAAATAAAACATGTACTATAATAAGAAGTCCACACTTTAGTGAAACTGACATTAATATAGAAAATGAAACTGAACATCGGTTTAATGCTGTAAATCTAAATTCTAGTTAAATTCTATATTAGGATTCTTAACGACATAACATGTTTCTTAATATAAAATTTTGCGTTAACTTCGAAGCTGAATTTCAAAATCTTTTATCCGGTCGAAGAAAACATTTTAAAATATTTTAAGTGAGAGAAAAAGTAAAAAATGATGGTACAAAAGAGTAATAGCTTCAACTATTTTAACTTTAAAAGATAATTTTAAGAGATCAAATTTTTATGGACCTAATTTTTTTCTCTTATTTTTAATATAATGTCCCTATGAGAAAATTATATATGTATGTTACTTTTAACGAAAAAGAAAAGTAAGAAATTAAGTAAGAAAAAGTCACGAAATTACTTGTGATCATACTTTGTAAAAAACAATTACTTACATATGCATATGACACTACATTTAAAAAAAAATCTGATGTGGTCAGCACATAATCGACCGCATTGTGTATTGCCTAGTTAAATGAAAGTGTTACAGAATATTATAAAAATGTCTGTTAAATACTTCTTTCCAATTTTTAGGACATTAGTAAGCTTATAGTTAACATACCTACAAAAGTGTAAATTTGGCTCTTAGTAGAGTTTCGCTTTGCGCTACCCGAATTCCCTGAAATGCTCGCCAGTTAGTTTCGGTAACAACCAGAACTCAAATATCAAATTTCAAGAAATTTCATCAATTCGTTCCGTAGGTATGGTGAAAAATGTAAAATCGGCCCGCAGATCAGTTTTCGAGTCCTGATCTTTCCAAAAAATTTATATGTTCATTGTTTTAATACGAGGAATTCATAAATTAAATTTCAATGAAATCGGTTGATTATTTCTCTTTATGTACACAAAAGTGTATGTTTGGCCCGTAGTAAACTTCTAATTGCCGATGCCTGATCTTTCCAAAAAATTTACACGTTCATTGTTTTAATACGAGGAGTTCATATATTAAATTTCAATGAAATCGGTGGATTATTTCTCTTTATATACACAAAAATGTATATTTGGCCCGTAGTAAACGCCCAGTTACTGATGCCTGATTTCTTCCAAAAGTTAGGAATTTTTGCGTACGATCGAGCAAAGCTTATATGTGAAATTTCAAGTAAATCGGTTGAATATTTTTTTTAAAATGTTCAAAAATGTAAAATAGGTCCGCTAAAAAGTGCAGTTCCCGAGGCCTGATATTACCAAAAGTTGATCAATCCGTGACATGGTGGAAATAAACTTACATATAAAATTTCATCAAAATCGGTTCAGCCGAACTTGAGATACGCGCGTGCACACACAGACCGGCAGACCGACAGGTTGCTAAAAATAGTTTATTTACACTTCCCTAATATGGAGAAGTGCCATCACATAACCTACCTATTGTTTACACAATACGGTCGGTAATTATGTATCACATATATTTTATTATTTATGAAGTGATTTTTCTAATGGGACTGTGTTGAAGTTAGTTGATATTTTAGCTACGGTCGGAAATGTTATTTAATTTCGTGTTATACATTTCAAAAGATTAGGTAACAGATTTTTGTGAGCTTTAATAGTAATATTATTTTAAAGAAAGTTTCGTCTTATTCTTGTTCTGTCCTTCCATTACTTTAATAAAGACTAATTAGTGATTATAGTGATTGCACTGCTCTAATTTTAAATTTATTTTTATACTGACTTTTAGGTCAGTACCATAGTACTGTATTGGGTACAAGGAAAAATAATTCGTTTGACCATAGCTTGCCAAAAAATAGAATTGGAAGTCTGCTAATTGTTTTTCTTCCGTTTTTTCAACTTTTGAATTCCATTAAGGTTCCCGTGATGTATCTCTTCAAAAAAACAAATTGTTAAACTTACATTAAGGTAACGAATCCTCTTTTTTGACCTGTTATAGACCAATATCAATTCCTTCACTTGAAGAATCTCGCATGGTCATTGTTTTTCATTAAATCACTTGTTTTTCATTTGAATTTTATTCTAATTTTTTCCATGTTTTTTAATGGTTTTAAAGAGAGAATTCATGTTCAGAATATTTTGAAGTTGCTCTAAATGACGCCATTCAGAAGAAGCTGGAGCTGGCTTGCTCCAGTTTCTTCAGAATGGCGTTTGGATTAGTAAGACATTAATTGCTCAATAGCAAACAATTTTTACATCTGCAAGATATTTTTAGCTTATTTAAGCATTTCGTGCTCCCGAAATCTGCTTGGGAACCTTAGCGTTCTGAATTTTTACAAATGACTTACGAACATTTATTTACCAATGACTACAACATATTTTATTCGCTTTACAGCTTAGTTTTTTTGTAAGAAAAATTGTATTGCTAAAATATAATTGTAATTTTTGGTTTCGAAGTAAAAATGGTATGGTATGGATGACTGCTTTAATTGAAATGGAGTCCATTAATAGAACAAATAATGAAACAAAATTAGATTTTGTTACATAAAACTTGACAAAAATTTGGCTGGTGACACTGATAAACTTCGCACTAAATTATGTATCCTGAAAGACATCGCTTTTATATAGAGCAGTAAGGGTATACGTTCTACTATATTGAATGTTATGCAATAATTATTTCAATGTTTACCTTGTGCATTGAGTCTAAATTCTTTCAATATATTAGTTGTAATAATATCTCAATATATTATCACTAATAATATTGAGTTAAATAATAATTTCAATAATAAACTCAAATAATAAAAAACTCAATATATTATCACTAATAATATTGAGTTATAAAATAATAACCCTCTTATTAACAATATAAAGGGTTAAAATTCTGCCTAAACAAATAAATGCTGTTTATGAAATGTTAAACTACATGTGACATCGTTCGCATTTGTTTTTTATTTTTTTAAATAAAAATTTTTCGAAAATTTGTATTATTATTACTCTTTTAGATTCGCTACAATCAGAGCTAAAAGTTAAA